TTGTGGAAAATATGACGAAGCTTTAATCTATTACGAGAAAGCGTCGAATGTTTTTCGACGTGTTTTACCAAAAAATCATCTCGATTTCTTTCGTCTCTTCAATAATATTGCTTTGACTTGTCAAGATCTAGGAAATCAAGAAGTCGCCATAATGTATTATGAACAAGCTATTGATATTATTCATTCTCAAGGTTCTATTTCTTTAAAAACTGATATCATCGCTGATATTTATGGTAATATCGGTAGTTTACACTCTCAAAATGGATCATATAAAAAAGCAGTAGAATATTTTGAAAAACAAGTGAACACAAAATTAACAGTTATGACATCTGAATCACCATATTTTATTACTACATATACGAATTTAGGCAGTGCTTGTTCGGCATTGAATGAACATACAACAGCACTTGAATATCATTCACGAGCTCTAGATATTGCACAAGCTGTCCTACCAAAATATCACGAGAATCTTGCGTCAATATATAACAATATAGGAGCTGTCTACGAAGACCAAAGTAAACATGAACAAGCTCTTCACTATCTCAAATTGTCATTGGAAGTCAAACTGAGTTGTATGCCATCTGATCATCCATCCATTGCAACGGCTTATCATAATATAGGTTGCATCTATGGATCGACGCTTGATTATGATGAATCTATAAAAGCTTATGAGTCTGCTGTGACTATCTTAGAGAAAAGTCCACCAAACACATATCCAGGATTGGCTACAGTCTATGCAAACATCGGTTGGTCTTACTATAAATTAGATGAATTAAACCGAGCAGAAGATTATCTTCAACAAAGTATAACTCTTCTAAGATCTATGTATAATGTTGATGATGATAATCATTTTAAATTTGCCTTTGCATTCGATACTCTTGCTCGTGTCAAATGTGCCCAGGGTTTTCTCGAAGAAGCTGAATGTTTGTGTCAGAAGGCATTTAATTTGCTTCTGACAGAGTTATCGCCTGATAATGTCGAAGTCGGATTATCGCACGAAAATTTTGGAATCATATACAATGCACAAAAGAAATATGAGAAGGCGCTCATCTTTTTTCACAATAGTGAAATGATTCTTCGCCATATCAATCATGAGTATTCAACGTTGGTTCGAATCTTTCGTGAAACAGGATCCGTCTTCTACAATCAAACAAAATATGATAGGGCTCTTGAATTCTATACGAAAGCATTAGTATTGGCTTTCAAAGTGTATGAAACTAAGAAGAAAGTTATCGATTCATTAAAATATGACTTGGATAGAGTTATTGATCATGTTTTCGTTATGGAGTAAGAATTCAATAAAAAAATAATGTGACACTACGATGAACCTTCTTACATCTAACGAGCGGGTATAGATGGGTAGATCGAGCTTTTAATGTTCAGCTATTCTTCAATTTTTTTTCTACGAAAGCAAAAATCCACTTACCGTGACTCGTTTCGAGCTTAATGAAGAGTCTATTCTCTACAGGCGGTTTTATACCAAGAGATATAAACAATGATATATGTCCGATACATATAGTAAATCATATAAATTAAGAAGAATTTTTAATTAATTTGAACTTGATATTTTTGTTTGAAAAATGTCATTTTATTAGGAATCTTTTTGAAAACACTGTTCTACGAAGAATGCAGTAGTCGAGCTTATGATTATGGATCGAAACTAGGCACAGTGAATTATTTTGACAATTAACCGTATTATATACAGGGTAGTCCATCAATAGCACTACGATAC